TACAATATATATGGTCCAACCAGAAGTTTATTTCAATGTACATGAACTGTATTTTCCAGAACCCTGGACATCCTAATATTCTAATACTGTAAAAGATAATTGAACGGGATTCCTAACATTCATTTTGTATTATAAGGCTTTTTTCCATATTTGATTTACTTAAGTGATTTTGAAACACAATGGTGGGCATGTAATCGATCTATTTTATATCAATTTCCAGTCCTGCATATTAAGTTCCAGAGGCCTAGAATTTTATTGAAGAGGTTGGTTTCTGTTTAATGCAAACATAATACCTGGGAGATTTCATTGATTGATTCTTTTGAGACTTTTTTATGGCATTACAATATTTCATTGATAAGGTGGATTAACATCAAACATTAAATGGGGAAATGAAGACATTTAAAGGTTATTGTTATTTCCATATTATTCAACACAATTATTTACATAAATTATGAGGGGCCAAGGCTGTATAGCATTATTACCACCTTGCTGGCCAGTTCAAGGGGTTTTAGTGCTAATTTAGAAGGCATTCATTTTTCTATATCGACCTGAGCAATTTTCCCTGGGAAATTAGATATCGTTCAGTGCGTAAGATTTTCTTGCTGTTTCAGTCCTGGTCATTAACGGTGGTAATAATACTAATAACGTAATTTCACTATATTGCCCTTCGAAATTACGTTATTGTACTATTATTGGCCCCCTGGAGACATACATGTTAGAATTCCCAATATACAAAAGTATAGGCTCGGCTAGAGATTTGAATACTGTAGTTTTGTAATTGATAGTCTACCTGCGCTATGTGCTAACATTCTAGGTTATGATGCAATGTAAGATCCAAGTAGGGGTACAGTGGAATATATGTGAAGAAGGATCAATATGGTGATCAAGTGGATCAATGGGATCAAACACCCTTATAGATTATCTTGTCCTGGTTATTAATATTTATCCACATATATAAATTAATAAGTCAGTAGATATGAACTATTTATCCCATACTTGGACGTGTTACGGGTACATAAAGCCGGTTTGTAAAATCTTATATTTTCATCAGCGGGCAGATATAGCTTTACGTCCCGCTCCTAGCGGGCAGATATAGTATATCTGCCCGCTACGTCATAATCGCTGTTCCCGTATTGGTTCTTTTTTGTAACCTCCGCATACTGTAAACGACAATGGAGAAAAACTCAAACAATTGCGATCTGTTTGATGCTTTAGAGAAGGAAAAGAGCAGTATGCCCCATTAATAATCAAATATTTGAACAGGATACAGACAAGAATACGGACACCACGGACAAGAATAAAAAAACGGGACATGAATATTTAAAAATAATTCCACGATTGGTTGCAACAATTGAACAATGTGATTGGTATGGGATAAACAGATCATCCTATAGTCGGTTCAGGATATTGGGATTATCCCTTGGCCAATATAATATATCTTCCCTCGGGACCTACGGCCCTCGGGCAGATATATTATATTGGCCTCGGGATAATCCCAATATCCTGAACCTCATATAGGATAATCTCTATTTACCCACATTTTCTGTATCAAGAATTTGGTATAATTGTGTCACCACAAGTGCTGACATATTGTAAATAGTTGCAATTTTTGTGAATGGTGAATGGTGTTTGGCATTTTGTGTTTGGCATTCAGTTGTTGGTGTTTGGCATTTTGTGTTTGGCATTCAGTGGTTGGTGTTTGGTAGTTGGTGTCTGTAACAAATGGCAGGTGGTGAACTTTTGCATGTTAATGCCTTGTTCCTAGTGCCATGTATTCTTGTTAATGTGGAAGGTTTTGATATAAACCTTCCTTTCTACAACTGAAGTGTAAATACAGAGGGTTGAAAATGATTGCTTATTATATTAACAATCATGATAAATGCAAATTATAAGTGGAAACACATATTATAATTGCTAAAAGGAAATTCATTCAATCATTTAATTAGCAAAGTTTAACAATATTACAGAAAAGAACATTTGACAATGTATCTATTGAAGTCTTAAATGGTGCCAGTTGTTAGGTTATTTTGAATTTCTTGAATTTTGTATTTTACGATCAGAGTTCTAGTATGATAGTAACAGATTTCTGCATTTGGAAAATGTTGTATATAGTTTTGTTCAAGTTGTTTTATTTGGAGGCAGGTGTACACCAGTTTGTTACCTAACTTTGCATAAAATGCCTCTAAAGCATGTTTATTCCTCACCACTTTTGCTAAAATTTGATTGGATGTCTGCTTTTCTTGCATTTTCATGCACTTTTAAATACAGTTTATTGGCTACCGGACTTGTTTGTTGAACCCTCCCTATATATATGATATCTCTCTCTTTTCACATGAAACTGTTGTATTTCATCCAAGGGCAACCTTGCAATGGAAACCTGTTATGCTCTAGGTAGCTGTAGAGATTGGTATTTGGCCTTCAAAGTTGCACTTTTCATGTAAACAGAGGGAAGTTTGCCAATATTAATATATAAGAAGAATCAGGCAGGCAGTATTATATGCTTCTTCTTAAAAAATTTCTTTTGTTACACAATTTTAGCCACATGGTCGGCATTTTCAAAAATGAAAAATGAGATATTTTGCTAAGATCAGTGGTTATTTCAAATGATAAGTTTTAAGCATTTGGTGATGTACTGATTATAACTGAATATAAGTGATACAAAAATGTTTTGTCCAAAGTTTTATTTTTCAACTGGGTGCATTTATTTTTTATGTCACCATCATAAGGGGTACCATATTGTCTAGTCTCCAACTTTTTTTGTGGATGGTGGTTGGTGTTCAGCGTTCAGCACCTCTAACAAATGGCATCTGTAATAAATGGCAGGTGGTGACATTTTGCATGTTAATGCCTTGTTTAACCTTTTCTGGTAGAAAAGACCTATAAGTATTCCACTTTACTTAATAATGTCCTAGTTTCCTTGACCTTTCCAGTTCTAAAGTGAGTGTACATTAGATTCTAAACTGGGTGCATATTCAATTTTCAACTTGGTGCAAGGTAATTTTCAAGTACAATACAAAGTTGTAATATTGGCTGATTGATACAGATAACCCTTAGGTTATCAGCCAAAATACTGTACCCTCTCACTGAAATTAATGATTCTTTCAATTTTCCCTCTCACAAATTAGAGAATATCATAATTTAAACTCAAACAGAGAATTGCATAAGCATAATCATGGCTGATAGACAACTCCCCAATTCAGAATGTATCAGTAACACAAAAAGATGAGATGAAATCAATAAGTCTTGCTAAAAGGGTATTTTGATAATAACATTGCATCTAGTACATGTATTTAGATTTCACATATTGGAAGGTGTTTTTAATCTCAGTGCTAAGCTGACTTCCTCCTGGATTATCTCTGCCCTTCAAGTAATCCAGGTTATTATCTATCTGATGTATATAAATCTGTACCATGTTGTTTACATGATAAACTTATCTTTATTCATCGAGGGACTGAAGGAATATACTGTTAGATATAAAATGTATACAGTGTATTTGAGCACTACAGTAAAACCTGTCTTAGTGAACACCTCTCTCTAGTAGGGGTGGGACGGATAACCGAAATACCAAAAAACCGCGGTTCATAGCCTTCAGATCGGTTTTCGGATCACGGCCCTACTTTCGGATCAGCTTTTCGGATCGTTTTCGGATTAATATTTCATTGGTCAAGTATCAATAAAACAGTTAAAAACACTTTTGATATTCCTAGTCCCTACCTTGTCTGTCTTGTCTGTTGCTAGCTCACTCGTTTACTAGATTCGTTTCGTATCCGCGTATTCGTATCCCTCGGTACTATATTCTTTAGTCGTGTATTCTAAATAATATGTATTGTTCATGAAATACTAAAACATAAAATTCCATCTATAAAATATTGTTATAACGTGGCATAATTGATACAAAGATTTGCGTTCGATATAGGGTATTATTTTGTGCGCACCCACAATACATTCAAATATGGCGTCTGGATCTCAAATTGTAAACTAACTAAACTTACACAATCATGACTTCCTCTGTAAAAAACGCATCACAGAATAAAGGTTTCTACAAGCATAAATTAGTTATTTTATTGGTTGTATTAAAAGAAAGTGACAGTCAGCAGTGAAGTCAGAGACAAAGCAGCTAATCATGTCAATCAATACAAATCCTTAAAATGAATGAACCGAACCGAAAAAACCGAACCAACGGCTGATGATCCGAAAAACCGAACCGAACCGAACCGAAACGAACCGTCCCATCCCTACTCTCTAGTGAATACCTGTGTTAAGTGAGCACCATTTCAAGACATACTTTATATTGACTCCTGTTTAAAATCTCTGTAATGAACACCTACCTACAGTGAGCACTTTTTGTGGCTCCATAGGTGTTCACTGTATACAGGTTTTACTGTAATTTGATCTCGGGTCAGTGTCTGTAACAAATTGTAGGTGGTGACATTTTGCATGTTTATGCTTTTTTTCTTCAAAATGAGTCAACGCTATGTTGCAATCTAATTGTTTAAAAGAGAAAGTTGTAAAATCCAATCTATACCTTTGATTTATGAGAGGTCTGCTTTAACGAGAGTCTGGTCTACTTTCTGAGTCAAGTGTTACATTAAATAGGTTTTAATGATGCTAAAGAACATTGTGATATGGGCTTGTATTTTATGGACACATCCTTATAAAGATTTGTATATTATAAGGTGGTCATTTTTTATGATATGCTATGATTTGTAAAAAAAAAATTTGACTTTACTCATACTATTCTTCCATTGCAATCAATATTATAAGCAATATGTCAGCACTCTGAATTTACAAATTGATCTCAAATGAATACTAGTAGGATACCCCATCCACCACACGCTTCAGCTGATCAGTCCTAGGCCCTGTGTAATATATTTTTAAAACATAGATAAACATCACATATCTAACCAGTCTACATTAATTTAAAATAAACTGTTCTAATGCGATGTAACATTAATGTTTAATAAAATTGTTTATTTTGCCTTAATTTCTGTGTTTTCCAGGTGCTATAGATGCAAATGAAATATGGACATCTCTCCGTAATTTAGGGGTCCATATAGATAGAGCTGAGGCTGAACGTCTTATGAAAAAGTAAGTTTCAATTCAAAAAGTGTTCTATTAGCACCAATTCATTGTCAAATTAATGTTATTGTATAATTTAGTAAGTCATGATAATTTGGGCCATTCAGTCTATGAAAATGCCCATAGATGGCTCCACATGGCCATTTATTTGCCTGTTGCATTTAAATAACTGAGCATTTTTCGTGGGGATGTACTCGATTGTACTTTATACCAACTTTTTGTAATCAGTTTTTCAACTTCCTTAATTATTCTGCCGATTTTTTGTCACTGTATAAGATAAGCTATAGATTTTAAATGTTGTGAGGTTATCGCACAGTGATCTCATGGGTACTTGCGGGTACTCGACACATTTTGTCATCTGAAGTTTCCCATCCCAAAAATATCTACAATGGTCATTTCTAGTAATGTATGAACTGAATAATCTATAGGAAATTGCAATTTTCTTGAATTAAAGTATATGGTTGAAATTATAATTCCATGTCTATTTCTTGTGATAGTTTTTGTTGTTCAGATTTCATACTGTTTGAATTTTAACCATTGTTATTTTTTGCATGGGAAATTTCATCATTTTGTAAGATAGGTCAACATTTGTCATGAAGTTGTACATGCATTTTAAATATGATATTAATAAAGATAAGGTATTAATTGAATCATATTATGGCTATATTTAGTACATCACTGTTTAAGGTTTATGGTACTGTACCTTATATAACTCTAATGTACATTATGACATATTATAAATTAAAAATGATCAAAAATTATGTTTTAGAAATATTTCATTTTAAGAATTCACTCAAGGTGAATTTTAGCCTAACATTTACATGTAAAAAACAATGAATTATTTCTAGAAATGTGGCAATGAAGTTTCTAAAACAGATATTATTTGAGTAAAACACCCCATTGTTGTTTTTGTTTCTACCAGCATTTCTGCAAAACCTAATTCTTTACCTGCATATTTTATTTATTTTTTTGAATTTAAGTTGATCGTTTATGATTTGATTAACCTTCAATCATTCACTTAATGCAGCCAGTAATCTGCAACTGCAACTGCTTGTGTGTCTGTTTTGTATGTTTAATCAAAAATCATTGCATTGCAATTGACATTTGTTTTATACTGATAATTTACATACATTTATTCACATACTAAAATACTGAGATTTTCGTATAGTGAGATATTATATACAGTTGAAAATTAGTTTACATCATTCATGAATTGACACAATGGATCTTCACAACAGAAATATAAGACTGTACAAAGGTATATCTAAGTAGTTTGGGATATCTCTTTTTATGTCCCCACCACATAGTGTGGGGCCATATTGTCGTCCTAGGCGCGTCCGTCCGTCCGTCCGTCCGTCCGTCCGTCCGTCTGTCTGTCTGGTTGTCTGTCTGTCCGTCCGTACGTCCGGCAGTTTTCTCCAAAACCGCTACAGGTATCACCTTCAAATTTTCAGGAATAACTTGTGAGTGCATACAGATGTGGATGAAAAAAAATTAACTGGATAGCTACTTCCTGTCAGCCATTTTGAGGTCAAATGCTAAAATCCTTGTCTGCAAACTTTAAGAGAAACGGCTTCACAGTTGCTTTTAAAACTTTAACATCTTGTTCAGCTCACTTCATTCTACATCTGATTAGGTTTTGGACCTGTTAGCCCAGTCATGTCAGCCATTTTGAATGTCTGAAGAAAAGTTTGCGCGCGATAATACTTTGTATCATATTGAATGGTGTTTTTGAGTTTTCATACTTTAACTATTTAGTAGCTTTATAAATAATTTCAGGTGTACTTTGTTGAAAAAGCCTATGTTATTGTTAACAGTAGTTATATGTGATAATTTTGTAAAAGGAAATCAGCAAAAACTCATAATCACTTTTTTATTGTCGGCCATTTTGGTTTTTTCCGTCCTAAAATCTTGTCTGTAAAGTCTTGTCTACACGTTTTCAGGTGAACCGTTTGGTAGATCAATTTCAAATTTTCAGGGATGAATCTTAGTATGAAAATCTAGATCTGATTAGTTTTTTGGCGTTCTGGGTAAATGTCAAGGCAGCCATTTTGGATTTTCCGTCCTAAAATCTTGTCTGTAAAGTCTTGTCTACGTATTTCCAGGTGAACCGTTTGGTAGATCAATTTCAAATTTTCAGGGATGATTCTTAGTATGAAAATCTAGATCTGATTAGTTTTTTTGGCGTTCTGGGTAAATGTCAAGGCAGCCATTTTGGATTTTCTGTCCTAAAATCTTGTCTGTAAAGTCTTGTCTACGCATTTCCAGGTGAACCGTTTGTTAGATCAATTTCAAATTTTCAGGGATGATTCTTAGTATGAAAACCTAGATCTGATTAGTTTTTTGGCATTCTGGGTAAATGTCAAGGCAGCCATTTTGGATTTTCTGTCCTAAAATCTTGTCTGTAAAGTCTTGTCTACGCATTTTCAGGTGAACCGTTAAGTAGATCAATTTTAACTTTTCAGGGATGATTCTTAGTATGAAAATCTAGAACTGATTAGTTTTTTGACATTCTGAATAAATGTCAAGGCAGCCATTTTGGATTTCCCATCCTAAAATCTTGTCTGTAAAGTCTTGTTTAACTGTTTGACGGATCAATTTCAAATTTTCAGGGGTGGTTCTTAGTATGAAAATCTAGAACTAGCTAATTTTTGGGGATTCTGGGTAAAATTTAAGGCGGCCATTTTGGACTCTCCGTCCTCAAATTTTGTCAGTGAAGTCTTGTCTACTCATTTTCAGGATAACCATTTGATGGGATCACCCATTGGTGGGGACATTTTGTACACATTTGTGTTCTTGTATCATACTTGTTTTTATCATGGGCTTTCAACTAGCAACTAGAAGGGTAGGCAACTTCCCATATTTCATACATAAGCATTGCCTTTGGGTTTTCAAAATTTGAGAATGTACACATTCCAAGAAAATCTTATTTTGTACTTTTTATGGATGATTAAGAGAAATAACTCAAAAATAAAAGCATGATGATCTACATATATGTTGATAATTTAATAAAAAATGAAATTCATCATAATTATGACAATACAGAAAGTGAACATTCTCCCACAAATTATGTTTTTATTGGAATGTGTTGTTGAATAATTACCCACAATGCAATACTTGAAGAGAACATCTTGATACCTCTTATTCTTATTGGTCTTTTTTGTTTACTTTTACATGGGATTAAATATATTTTATACTTTAATCCTATTGAAAATTGATTTTTAATCAAAAAAATATTAAAACATATACATTTATCTAATATTTTTTGAAATATTACGCATAAAAGGGAAGCATGGCATTGCTCATTTTGAAGGTCTCATGTTATTACACAGAGTTGCATACCCTTCTAATTGAAAGCCCATTATTAAGCATCTTTATAATCCTTTTGATGTCATATCATGAATGGGATGTCATTGCATCATGTTTGATGTCATAGCATCATATGTGATGTCACATCATTATGTGATGTCATCATATGTGATGTCATCATATGTGATGTCACAGCATTATGTTTACCTTACACCTCTAGGATGGACATGGATAAAACGTTAAAAGTAGATTGGAACGAGTGGCGGCAATATTTAATCCTCTATCCAGGATCATACCATGATCTCCAGGAAATCCTACACTACTGGCGTCACGCTACAGTATGTATTAGGCTATACGCCACTTCCATCTAGAGATACGCCATGTAATGGTGTACGCCATGTCATACACCCCTAACCCAAAACATTGCACGATGTAAGGTCATTTTAGAAGTCCATGCTCATTTGAAAATAAAAATTGACTGACATATAATTAATTGGTTTGGATTTAACATATAATTGATTGATCCTAAGTTAAGTTTTAATTTTCTATTGTTTTCATTTGAGAAAGATGGTACAGAAGAAATGACCTTCTAGATGACTAACTGCATGCATGCTTGATAGGTAGAGGTAGATACCCTGGGCTAGCACGCTAACAAAGACTCTCCCTATATCCCAGCTATTATTAAATGATACATCGATTGAAGTATTCTCAATCATATAATATTTAAAGCTGGGTTTTCTGCTTTCTGTTCTATGCAGTGTTGTCTTTGCTTCTAACTACCTTCCTCTATTTATATCTTAAGTTTTACCTCCTTTTGCTATGATGTATAATTTAGAGTTTAGATTTTAGATGTGCAGCAGAATAAATAATGAAAATCTATGACTACAGGCCATCGATTGAATCTATTATGGTTTGATAGTTAGCCATTTATCATACTAGAAATAGTAAAATTCCTCTCAGGTAAATGGTCTGAGGATCCACAAAAGGGGTTTGATGTGTTCGAGTAAGTATTGAATTTTGCAAAGTGGCAACCATACTTCATTCAGAGATAGGCTTCTATTGAGATTTTGATGTCATGCCATGTTTTATCTAATACAGGTATTTATATTCTTTTTTCTCAGACTAGACATAGATGGATCGTTAAATATTGATTGGACCGAATTTCGGGACTACTTTCAATTCCATCCATATTCTGAAGTAGACGAGATTTTGCGATATTGGCGACACTCCATTGTAAGTGCTGCATGCTGGGAGTGAAATACCAGTGTTGCATGCTGGTATTGAGAACCCTGCTGTGTGGCATAAGAAACCTGCTTTTTAGTTTCAGGATTTTTACCTGTTCAGTGGAATGAGCTTTATCAGCTTAATACTGTTCATAGCAAATCAAGTTGTGTCCTGATACTACATAGCACAAGTTAATGTGCTATATGCTATGCTATAATTGACATGAAGAAACGAGTCCCTGGTGATGTTTAACACGAGATTGGATGAGTTGCGGGATAGAATATACTATATACTTCCCTAGAGCCCTACCTTACCCTTGAATCTAACTTATTTTCTACTACAGAAGACTCCCAAATATATTTATATGGGACCTGGGAAAAGAAGACACCTTCCTCTGACCCCTGCCCTATCCTCTGAGCATACTGTATAAGTGGTATTTAATCCGAGTGGTTAATTTTCCGAATGGTCAAATTTCATCATTTTCCTAATGACAAGAAACCTCCCATTGGATAACATTATAAGACAATATTTCCGACATTTAATTTTCCGAACCTGGCAAAAATTAGGAAATAGGCAAATTAAATGATTAGGCAAAATTACCACTTATACAGTATAGCCCTCTTCACAAATAATGCTTGAATAGGTCCCTATGTTGTCCAGCGCTGAACTAATATCCTAACTTTGTATCCTAGAATGGACCGTGATGGCTCTCTGACAATAGACTGGGAAGAATGGAGGGATTATCTACTATTTCATACAAGCACTGATCTTCATGATATTTTCTTGTTTTGGCGTCACTCATATGTAAGAAAATAACAAGTTTTGAGTACAGAGGCTTGTATCATAATATGTACAATATATGTATCACAATATATTGTATCACAATGGTGGGGGATTGATTATCAAGGCTCACAGTGATATCTCACTCTGTTGTAGGCCTATTGAAATTTAAGAAAATTATTCCAACATTAGGGGATAGTGCCTGAAAGTTACATTGAGTAGAATAAATATGAAGGGTGTTTCAAAAGTTACTGGAAATTAGTAATGAATAACTGTTAATGACATGTTTGGCTAGAAATATTTTAAGCTCTTTTGTTCCTTAGCTGCTTCATTTCTGACAATTTATATTTTTTAACCAAAAATTTTTCAATATAACAGAAGGCTTTTTCTTAGATAAATTGTGATGAATGATTTCTGTAAAAATGAGAATATCGTAAAAATATTGGCTTTCATGAATCATATATATCACATTGATTTGAAGAAACAGCCTCTATGGTAATGAACAATACATTGTATAATTTCTCAAAATTTCTGAGGCACCCCTTGTATATGAGATTATGATCTGGTATTCGAAGAAACGGCCTCTAGGCAATTAAAAATAAGTTGAATTTATATCTCAAAACTTCTGGGACATCCCTGGTACATGTGATTATGAGCTGGTACTCAAGGCTGAACTTTTCATTACATTAACCTTTCTTGTTACTGTTGTTTGTTGAGTGTTTGTCGTATTGAGTAGAAATCTAAGAGTGAATGCAAATTAATTGAAATGTTACCTTTTAAGGAATACTTATGTCGCCACCACAAGTGCTGACATATTGTTAATAGTCTCCATCCTCTTTGTAGACATTGTTGGATGGTTGATTTTTGGGGTTCAGTGAGTGTGACAAATGGCAGGTGGTGACATTTTGCATGTAAATGCCTTATTCTTAGTTTGCAACCACTCTTTAAGAAATGTGTCAAAATGTCAAATAATCCAGCAAATTGAACATGGGAGGGGCAGAGCTTTTATACTTATCTAAAACTAGAAATAAGGTGACTGCAATTTTATAACAAATAATGCATTCTGATATTATGACACTACATTTCCAATCCTGAGAGTTCTTAGAAACACGAGTCAAGGCTTGATCAATCTTGTTAAATTTGTTCTTGATCAAAACCACTATTGTTTTTTGCTTACATGCTGGGCTATTGAATCACCTACTCATCCGTCTGTCCATCTGTCTGTTATCCCATCTTTTTATTTTGGAGAAATCTAAAGAATCAACATTAGGTAACCCCAACGAATGGTACCATTTGTATATTCAAAAGGAATACTGTTTTCTCCATCTACCAAGCCTAGACTTTAAAGCAGTTTACATTTATGGTGAAATATTCACAAAAAAGTTCACCATAATGTTAGACTGGTTACTGGTTCTCATGTTCACTGTTACATTCATTTTCATGTTTTGTTCTTCACTTATTAGTTGCACAGGGTTCAGTTTCTCAAATTAAGTAAAAAAGTTTGAGCAATGGGACCCTGGTTTTTATATGAATACTTTGATTTGTCACAATTCTTCAATTTGGTGAATTCATTTTTTCAAGCATTACAATTTACAAAGAATTGTGGCAAGTCTATTGATATGTATTATCATATGTGCATTTTGTGATTTTTGCTTCAATTTTGCCTCGATTTCCATTTTCAGAATCTTTGCGCCCATTGTATATTAACACCAAAACACCTTCTTTGTCTCAGTGAATCCTGAGAGAAAATCATATTTAAGCTCCTATTATTGCATTTAAGGCAGAATCAGATCTGTAGGGAGTGTCCTGGGGGATTTTTAGAATAAAGACATGACAAGGAATGATATGAACCAAATGTATTCTAAAAATTGTTTTTTTGTTCAACGTAGTCGATCAAGATCTGATTCTTTTTTAATTCTTGCAATATTAGAATAAGAATTGAAGCAAATGTGTCTCATGTGCCACTGATTCACTCTTCCTTTGACTTTGAAATATGCAGAACAAGCTTTTATGAACTTGATGCTTTTAGCCATTCACTTAAGACTACCCTACTAATAGCCTACTTATAGCTTATTTCTTATTTGGAGCACATAATATTGTCATTTATGGCTGATTTGAGCCTTCTCCCCTTTGATTACTCTATGCTTTTAGCTGATTTTAGTTTGCTTCATTACTGCACTGTTATGTCTTAACTTAATGTCTTTAACATGTTTTGATTTATATACATGTACAGGGTGGTCCAAAAAATGATCCGTTTGGAAAGGCTATATTTCGATAGCTTTCTTATACCAGGGATTTAATTTTTCACATCTTTAGAAGGAAAACAGTTTTTACCATATTCTCTGTATTTTGTGCCAACCCCTTAATAAGCGTCCATTGCGCTTCATAAAATTCAAGGAATATTGAGGAATGACCAAATATTGATGAATATACAATAAAAAAGATCGAAATTGTAAAGAAATCAAGTTGGAGAAATAATAGAGTGCTTACACCAAAATGTGGTGAAAATGGAGTATTTTGAAATTTGATGCAGAAAATATGGTATATCAGTTTCAGTCAAACTTTAGCATGAAAGTAGATGGTTAACATAAATTTTGGACAGCCCTGTATTTATTTGTTAAATGTGGTACATGTGTTTCATGGTCAGTGTGCATTGTATGAACAGATATGGTGTGAACATTTATTGCCTGTGGTGCTGGTGTAAGATGTCATGGTGCATGAATGTTAACTGGTATGTTTGTGGTGTTAGCTTTTGCGGACACATCTCTCTACCGAGAACTGTAACACCCTACACACCCCTCCAAAATACTTCACCTACATATCACAAGTTAAACTATATTTTATTTGCAAAAAGTTATATTTATTTTCTTAATGCTTCATGCTTATATCCAGCTTTTCACCATTTTGATGAAAAAGATTAACAAAATAATGAAATGAATTATTTGAAGTAAATGAGTGAATTTTGTATAAACTTCTTCAAATTTTTGATTGTGATTTATTATTTATATTTACCACAATCTATTCTTGACAAGAATTTTGATTACATGAAATTTTCTCTCAAGCTCTAAACCTATATTTAACCACAACTTGACCTCACAATGAGGGGACAGTTGTCTCCTAGGGGACACTTGTCCCTGAGGGGGGCAGTTGTCTCTGAGGGGGACAGTTGTCTCTGAGGGGACAGTTGGCTCTGAGGGGGACAGTTGTCTCTGAGGGGGACAGTTGTCTCTGAGGGGAACAGTTATCTCTGAGAGGGACAGTTGTCTCCTAGGGGACAGTTGTCTCTGAGGGGAACAGTTGTCTCTGAGAGAGGGACAGTTGTCTCTGAGGGGACAGTTGTCCCTGAGGGGGGCAGTTGTCTCTGAGGGGACAGTTGTCTCTGAGGGGGACAGTTGGCTCTGAGAGGGACAGTTGTCTCTGAGGGGGACATTTGTCTCCGAGGGGACAGTTGTCTCTGGGGGGAACAGTTGTCTCTGAGGGGAACAGTTGTCTCTGAGAGGGACAGTTGTCTCTGAGGGGGACATTTGGCTCCGAGGGGACAGTTGTCTCTGGGGGGAACAGTTGTCTCTGAGGGGAACAGTTGTCTCTGAGAGGGACAGTTGTCTCTGAGGGGGACAGTTGTCTCTGAGGGGAACAGTTGTCTCTTAATCATCTTATTTAATCTCTTTTATTTTCCCTCTTATTCAGCCTTTAGATCTGAGATTGCTTTATTTGCATGAAGCTCGAGAAAAACATCGTCAATTTAGACAGGAGATGGACCCGTTCGCACTTATACATGATGTATGTATGACAGTTGATAAGTATCCTATGACATTTGCATCCGACTTCAAGATTGCTGCCCATAGTAACATTTGCGATGTTTCAATTTTCATCCGATTTTCAAACCCTTTTAGCTTCAGATTTGGTAAAAATAACTTTTAGAATATGTCACAGTTATAGTTTTTTCATGAAATTACTAAATACAAAATTTTTCCACATTATATTGCCTATAGAAGCTTATGATATTCCATTTAGCTTGAGATTTGTTAAAATAACTTCTATTAAATAAGTTTTTTTTTAATTCTTCAATTCTAAATTTGCACAGTATGCCACGTACCTGTAAAAGCTCAAGATGGTTTTTTAGCTTCAGATTTCTTAAAATATCTACTAAAGCAACCCTTATTTTTACCATTTATCAAGTAGATTCTATGATCAGAGTAAACAATTTTCATCATAACCTCCAGTAAAACAACAACTTTCAAAGTATGTTACTGAGGATTTAATTTTATTTGATATAAACTTGACAGTAACCTTATCTTTGATAAAAACAACTTTCACAAAAAAACTACCAAATATGCAGTGTTCTCATTCAAAGTAAACTACTAGAAGTATGTTTGTGTGGTATTTATAAAGTTTGAATGAATGGCATTAAAATAAAACCTTTTTACTCACTTTATTAGATTAGTCTTTTCTACTTTTTAGGTAGAAATAATATACTTTACTCAAAAAAATATTTGCTATTTTAAGAAATACCTTACTAACAAATGTTATATATTTTAATAATGATGATGATCTTGAAGACATTTATTAATTTATTTATTTTTGATCCTTTATTAAAAATCCTTTTGAATCTTGAGCTAGAATTGTATTTCATACTAAAGATGGAACATATCAATTGCTGGCATCTTGTTTGTTTATTATAGTATTAATTATTATTTCGTAGTGATTGATTTTTTTTTTTTATCCTTTAGTCGCAATTTTTGACGTATTATTATGATTTCAAATCAAGCATTTCTCCCCAATCTGCACGTCTTGCAGCTTTCTGACTCCCAAGCAGAGCTATTGCATGTATGATATTAATGTTAATATTTGTAGAGAAAATATATCTGTTCATCTTGAAAATAGAATAAATTGATTAAGGATAATATTTTAGTTAAATTAATGGTTCTATTGAATAATATGTAATATATTTTACATACATTCATGCATCCATATGATTACTTCAAATGATGTGATTTATTTTACAGATAATAGACATAGGAGACAATACACTAGTTCCTGATGATTTCACAGAAACAGAACTTAAAACAGGCATGTGGTGGCGCCACCTTGTGGCTGGTGGTGCTGCGGGTGTAGTTTCACGAACATGTACTGCCCCACTTGATCGACTAAAAGTCCTTCTTCAGGTAAGTCCCAGTGTTGCTAATCAACAACAATATGCAGGAGTAGGGCCTCAATTGTATATGATAGGGCCAGGGGGTATGGATATGGGCGATTATGGGTATTTTCCACATCCATCCTCGATATCCATATTGAGGACTATCACATATGGTTATTTCAATAAAACAACACTGGGCTGGTTGAAAAACCTGAAGAAACAGACTGTTGTGACATGTAGAGCTCTTCAAATGAGATTTAAGGAGGTAGGACAGGCTCGGAGTGAATATTTGTCAAGTGGGGATTGCTGGAAACATTTAGTAGCTGGTGGAACTGCTGGGGTCATTTCCAGAACCTTAACTGCTCCTTTGGATAGAACAAAGATCTTGATACAGGTATTAAACATGAACATATCTCTGGTACATAGCGTCCATAGGCAGCATGATAAGCTTAGACTATGGTACAGCTCATTGTATCAAAAAAGAAATTGTACTAAACAGTCAACTTACCACTCTTGCACATTGCATTATTGTCTCAGTTTTTAATGGAGTGACTTTTGATACACTCTTTGGAATTGGATCCCCATGAATATGTACAAGCACACTTCCTGAAAAGAGTGATGAAATTGGTTTCTAAATAAACTAAATAGAACAGAGAATAAATAATTTACATGTACAAGGGGCAGGTTTTATAAAAGAATTTTTTTTTATTGAATATTTATTCATCAAGGTCTTTAATCTCTATTAGCTAAATTATGCCCTGCCCACAATATATGATCTATAGTCACAAATTCAACTTTATTCTTCTGTTCTAGGTGCACGGATCTAGAGTGAATAACCTTGGGGTCATCACTGGATTCCAACATATGCTCAAAGAAGGCGGAGTCAAGTCATTGTGGCGGGGAAATGGAATTAATGTGATAAAAATAGCGCCAGAATCTGCATTGAAATTCATGGCATATGAACAAGTAAGTCTGACTTTCTTTGGAGTCATTTTTGAATTTTTATTTCCACTATTTTTTATTTGAAAAGATACATCAGTCTAAGTTTTGATGGTTTTATTACAAAAGCAAAATCTGATTTCTAATTACCTACACATTTCCTCAATCAGAGAGTATAAGATCTTTTTTTTATTATTATCAGAGAAATATTTTTGGAAAAAAGTTTTGACATTAAGGCATGTATCTTGTCTTTCAGATCAAAAGGCTTATGAAAGGTGGTAAAGACCGGGAACTGAGCACGATAGACAGGTTTTGCGCTGGTTCTTCTGCAGGGGCAATCTCCCAGTCAGCAATATACCCCATGGAGGTATGTCTGGAACACACTAGTTTCCAGGACCCTTGCTAAGGCTTTAAGTGCAAATTAGCATTTCAGATCTGTTACAGTGTTATTTCCAATATGGCCTAATGAAGCTATACACTGCTCTGTTTAAAAAAACTGGCAATGGCCAGTGGAAGGGGTCTTAGCCGAAGCCTTGATCAAGTTACTCTAGTGTATTACTCTGTCCATTCATCTCTTCTTCTTGGGCACATATAAATGTTTTCAACTTTGCATCTCAAAACGTAAAATTCACATTTTGAACACCAGTCATAAATAACACGTCCAGATAGATTATCAGCTTAGTTTGAAGTCTTGCATCGAGTCTCAGGACCCCACTCCCTTTTCTACTTCCCATGAAGCAAGACTACTCAGTTTGAACCACATCAGATTTGTGACACTACATTTCTCAATTTCCCACAAAAGGCAATTCAGTAACCCTTTTGTACTAACTCCATCTATCTTGCACTTATAAAATACATGTATTTATAAAAGCTTGTTTCAAATTTCTTTTGAAAAATAACTTAACTTGTATAATTTATCTTTCAGGTGATCAAGACTCGGTTAGCACTGAGAAAAACAGGCCAATATAAGGGAATAATAGACTGTGCATGTAAATTGTACCAAACTGAAGGACTCAAATGCTTCTATAAAGGCTACTTACCTAATTTAATAGGAATTATACCATACGCTGGAATAGATTTAGCTGTATATGAAGTAAGTATAGTAACACCTGGGTTAGTGGAATACCTTTGATACCTCAAAATGGTGTACTACATTGGAGGTTTCCACTATAGAGGTTGATTTTATATTAAGTTAATTGGTAACTGAACTTTGTTCCATTTATGGAATGTTCCACTGACAGAGGTGTCCAAAGTGAATTGATTGACAGAGTGGCTAAAGAATAATAGATTTGAATTGTTTTGCTGTATGCTTCGTTGTTATACTATCTTGCCTTTGCACTTTGGCTACGATTGTGTCTACAGGTATTATATTTGAAAAATACTATTCAAGGTGACATCAGGAAAATAGATCAACAGAATAATTTCAAATAGAAAGCGTTACTTGAATGTGTTTTGATTGAAAAAATTGAAACTCAAGTTTCAAATGCCATTTTCAGACATTGAAGAAACTGTACATATCTCACCATCCTAAAGACCCAGACCCAGGAATCCTTGTCCTTCTGACTTGTGGCACCCTCAGTAGTACCTGTGGTCAACTTTCCAGCTATCCACTAGCTCTAGTTCGCACAAAATTGCAAGCACAAGGTAGGTTTGAATGGTATCTGGGGTCATTTAGTGATTGCTTTGTCGATTTTTTTTTTTTTTTTTTAATTCACTTGTTCATCTTGAATAGATTAAAATTTATCACAACCTCACAAATCCACTTTATATTAAAGGAAAACTCTAAAAACCTCACTTTCCTCATTGCATTTCAACAGTTACCTCAAAATACAACAATATTAAATCTAAATGAAGAATTGGGTTGTTTTGAAAATATATTGCTGAGTATCAACTGGTTCAAAAAATGCTACTACCTGACTGTGGGGGAAACCCCATAAATCAGAGAGAAACTTAATTTCATGTAAAAGGTTCAGGTTCATCTTAACATGAAGAAAGGTTCATCTATGAATTATGGGTTATTTCCTCCTCTACCTGGTTGTTGGGTAGATTTCTTGTATGAATTCTGTCTTCAAATTTCTTAGTCTAGAGTACTCATACTTTGATATCATGATATAGTTTTCCTTTCCATTTCATTCTGAACTACCATCAATTGAAAAAATGTATTAATTTGAAATGTTTCAAGAAATACATCCCTGAAAATCATAATGGTCTCAAATGTATAATCAAATCGTACATCCTTTTTTCAGCAAACACAGGCGTTGGGAAGGGAGACACAATGGTTGGACTATTCAAACATATATTAAGAACAGAAGGGCCGATAGGCTTATATAGGGGTATCACCCCAAACTTTATGAAGGTAGCCCCCGCTGTGAGCATAAGCTATGTTGTTTATGAACATGTTAGGAAATCACTAGGAGTGCAATGGGCGTAATGCTACCCTCAACTAGGAAATTTTAGTCATATAATTTAAAATACAACCTCTGCTATATGCGTAGGGTGATGTCATCTCATGTAGTGATAAAGTATTGTGCTAGACCCATACACTGAAGGATCCTCAAATCTGATTGGTTGATCTTCATTACGAGATGGCGAAATGAATCATGGGAAGGAACTTTTGCAAGTATCAGCATGTGTTATCTTGACACTTGGTTTTGATTGCCTGTCACATGATGTAGAGGGGACTATGGGAAGAAACCTCCTCTGAGGGATACTTCTGTATTGTAGTACAAGACCATGTGCCATGTTAATCATATATTGACCCTCCAGTCTGATAGGCTACCAAATGGTCACATGATAGAGAGGAATTTTGCAAGGGAGGTTGAACCATAATGCTATGTTTGTCCAGTCATCACAGTGTGTAATTGTTTGAAGCCCCTGTGGTGTTCAAAAATATACCTACAGGGTAAAGGAGTTCCTTGGATACAATAATATTGTTGAGGAATCAAGTATATACCATGTTAATCTTTACCAATCGTATTGAAATTAAGGAGAATACATGCAAGTCATTTTGTTATAATGTAATTTAAACACACAGTCTGATGCACAGTCTCATAAATACTAGCTTAATAGCAGATTTGTATTGGCTGTGCATTAGGCTATGTATTTCAGACAGGACTGCATACAATTAATTAGAAGTCATATCAAGCTTTATAAGGAACTTTGTCTCACATTTACATATACAGTTGAGTATGGCTTCATGTTCGAATGTCAATCCTTGTTCAATTATATTGATTTAATCACTTGGATTGTACATGTAAGAATTATTGGTAAAAATTTAGTGATATGGTATTGAACAATTGCACACAATAGACAAACAAGTGTTGCTTTAAGCATATAATGCTGACCCCCCCCCCCCCCCATTCAAGAGAAAGAGCCCTGATCTAGAGTGGTGGAATACTAATGCAAGATCAGGGACAAACATTTTTCAATACTTCAAAAAGTGCAACTAAAACATTTGCAATGTATTAAATCAATGTAAACATGAGTACATGTGTTAGTGTGTATATTTTGGTTGTATATAGTGAAGCAATGGCTATCCATCTATACCTCAATTAGTAGACTTGGTTTAACCAGAAATAATCAAAATGCTGTCAAGGCCTGGGCTTAATTTGAGGTACTGTATACTGCTTTATTTGGCACCCATATTGATATGGTGATTCACCAATTGAGTACAATATATTTCAGATTATCTAATCTCCATTGATTTACAGTCTTGTCTAATGGCGTTTCTAGAGACTGTTCCCAAAATCTGCCATATTGAATAGTCACTTAATTCCAGAAAATGGTGAAGAACCCAATTAAATAATGCCAAATTAAACCAATTTACAGTATTTATAGGGCATGACAAGAATTGAAATGTCTAATATGGCCTTGTATTTAAATGGATGCAGAATGCAAATATCTAAAAAACTACTGAATGTTACATGTTGTAGCTGTGCTCAATGTTGATGAGGCCGAAGATCTGTTAATATGACATACAAGTATTACAATTTGTTTCAAAAGTCATTTTTAAACATCAAATGTCACTGTAAAGTTAAACCTGAGTAAGTGGAACACTTCAAAATAATGTTCCACTGATGAGATGTTCCTCTCATAAGGGTTAATTTACTTTAAGTTAATGGGTAATGGGACTTTGAAGCGTTCCACTTACAGGGGTGTTTCCATCCTCCGATCACAGGGCTTCAAAATCCAGAATATATTCTTTCTTTCACCCCCTGCGATAAGCAGTTAGCATTTCCCCGATTAAGAACTCGCAACACTGCAATCGAAATCATGTATAAGTCATTGTGCAGAATTAGATCACGTGATTCAGTTAAATCGGGCCCTTCCAAAGCAGGGGGAAGAAGGAGGTACGGATTCTGGACACCTGCTTAGGAGGATGGGGTGTTTCACATGGCAGGCTTTACTGTACCTCATCAATGTGATTTTAGGTGCTAGTCTTTTAAGTGTTAAATCGCAATTATAAATGTATTGCTGTAACAGTAAATGGAAAAAGACGATATAATATACCACAGTTTTCTACCATGTGATTGGTATAAGCATGAAATTGTAACATTTGGAAAGTTTAACATCATTGTAGATCTTCTGAACAGAGGGCTCTAGAAAACATTGCTCTAAGTAGGACATTTGGTTCTAGAATATTGGTTCTACAACATAAAACTAGCTGTAGAGCACAGGGCTCTAGGACTTGAACACAAGGCCCTAGAACATCTAACTTTAGATTTTGGCACCCTGTAGTCAGAGTATTCACTCTATGTATAAATCTACATGCTTTTATCATAAGGTCTGTGTGACTTTCGCATGGTAGAGTCATATACCAGGTTTATAATTGTATCTTTTATTCCTCAATCGTCTCATGTTTCAATGTTTGAAATATACCATATAATTTGTCGTTGTACATAATCTATGTAAAAATCAAAACTTGCAGTACTTTGTACATAAAAGAGATGTTATAAAGTTGTGTGGGTGTATATTTAAGACACATTTTCCAATTTCTATCGTTAAAATAATTAGATTCCATATATCACCAATTTTAGCAGTTTCTTCTTCCATAGGGTGTCCCACGTGTTAAATGAAATATTGTGTTTTACTTTTGAGACACTGTTATGGATGGTTAAAGGAGAAATATTTGATGTAAACAGTATGGTCCAAGCCTTGTAGTATAGTACCAATATGACCACATACTTTGATAAAAGATGGTTATTTTGGCCCACCCTGTAAAACAGTTGGACCACATGCAGATAATTGAGAAATGATGAAAGCAAAATCTTGTTTACCATCTTTCAAAATATCCATAGATCATAGTGTAGACAACATCATATTAGGCATCCTATTGTGTTGAGATATTGTATTTGTTCTTAATTGGATGGGTTTTAGAAATTCATTAAATTAAATTTCAGCCAAAAAAACAATAAAAATCTGACAGGAATACAGATTATCAGGGAGTTCATATATTTGGCTAAAAGAATCTTATTTGTGTCAATATAATACTACATTACTGACTGTAATATTTTGGGTCTGAGTGTCTTTCATATTGGTAATAATAAAATTCATTAAATTAAATAGCGAGATTAAGTATCAAATACAGTACATTACCAAATTTTATGTTTTAAGTTCTTAGTACCTACCATTAAATGGTGAGTAAATTTTTTGTCATATTTAAACATTTTGTTGTTGTCACAAATATTTCCTTCTTGTTCATATGTTGTACCATCAACATTAAATAGTTGTTTCATCAATATAATTTTAACACATCTTATTTATATGGCAGAAACTGGAATTGGATAAGTAATATTTCGTAATTTATTTGTAAACTCTGTCCTGCATATACAGTAAATCACTGATAGGCCATCTTAGTAGATTGTACCACCTATCGGCTATTGGGTTTGAAACTATTTTCAGCAAAGAAATGAAAACTAATTTACAAAAAATGGAAAAGGTCGGGATGTACTGAAATGGTATATAAGTTGTATTGAAGGATGAGGAGTACTTGTGGTACCAAAAAGAACCTCAATTTGAATGTGAAATATTAAAAATGAGAGGAAAAATAGTTTTATGGCAAGCTATGTACAATAAAATCTATATAACTGAACATCTCTCTTGTTTGAACACATCTCAATATGAATGTAATTTTCTATTTAAAAAACTGCCATAGACATCCATGTTAAAAACCTTCAAATGTGAAAATCTGACTTTTCCAAGATTGGGTTGGTAACAACAGTTCACATTGTTCAGGTTTTACTGTAAAATATGTAAAGAGAACAATTGCCTTTGTACAATACATTTTTCAAGGTCACTTCAGAACCTGTATTGTTTTTAGCTACAATACAATTAAGCCTGTATGAAAACTTTATGTTATACATTACATTGATTCATTTTATTATCCCATCGAACGAAGTTCGGAGGGATATAGGGAACGCCTCCGTCCGTCCGTCCGTCCGTCCGTCCGTACGTACGTACGTCCGTCCGTCCGTCATCCGTCCGTCCGTCCGTACGTACGTCCATCCGTCCGTCCGGGCAATAACTCAAATACCGCTGGCCCGATTTTGTTCATATTTTGTACACATATACCCTATGGGGGTAGAAGTTCTGCTCGAAAGCTGATTTTCAAAATGGCCGCTCATTTCAAAATGGCGGCCATTTTAGTGCCGAATTTACAGTAATTTAGGTGCAATATGTAAAACTGTAATAGCAATATGTTTTAGATGTAAAAAAATTATATAGGACATTAATAAAGCTAGAAATGTAGATATTAAAGAAGCACATGGCAGCCATCTTGAAAAATGGCGGCCTTTACTCGTTATTTTACGATTTTTGCTGTAACTCGAAAAGTAGTTGAGCGATTTTGTTCATATTTGGTATGTGAATACTATAAACATTGCACACTGTCTAAAGACACTTTTGGTAGAAAGTGGCCATTTTAAAAAATGGCCGCCATTTTGAAAAATGGCCGCCATTTTGAAAAATGGCCGCCATTTTGAAAAATGGCCGCCATTTTAACCTATTTTACTATAACTCGAAAAGTAGTGAAGCGATTTTGTTCATATTTGGTATGTGAATACTATAAGGATGGCACACTGTCTAATGACACTTTTGGTAGAAGGCGGCCATTTTTCAAAATGGCCGCCATTTTAACGTATTTTACTATAATTCGAAAAGTAGTGAAGCGATTTTGTTCATATTTGGTATGTGAATACTGTAAGCATGGCACACTGTCTAATGACACTTTTGGTAGAAGGCGGCCATTTTTCAAAATGGCCGCCATTTTAACGTATTTTACTATAACTCGAAAAGTAGTGGAGCGATTGTGTTCATATTTGGTATGTGAATACTATAAGTATGGCAAATGGTCTAATGACACTATTGGTAGAAGGCGGCCATTTTGAAAAATGCCTGCCATTTTTGCTATATACTTTGTTTGTAAAAATGCCATCCATGGCTGTTCGATGGGATTCGCTACGCTTTGGCGTTGCCGTTGTTCTGGTTTTTGATGTATTCCCTTCCCATGCAATGTTAATGCAGAATGGATCTATGATGTTCTTATATTCTGAAGTACATGTATATGATAAATATTACTTGTACATAAATAAAGATTATTTAAATATTGTCAATTAAACTTGCTATGTTTGTTCGTGGAATTTCAGAAATAGTTTAGGTTTTAGTGACTGTCAAACACAACTTACAACAATACAAGAATATTTTTTTTAAAGTGAACTCAATATTGTGTAAACCTATGCTATCCCTGGGCAAGAGCATGAAGGGGATGTTGAAGAAGTGGTTCAATGATTGTCAGTAATATACCCAGCGGTACCTTAATAGCTCTACGTGGTTCCTTAGTAGGCCTTCTTGGTAACCAGAAGCCCTGATTTTTTGGTAAGGTGTCAGAGTTGATAAAGTGCTGAAAAATTGCTGCAGTGCTTCACCATGAAATATTTTCAAATATATTTCTCATAATAAAGCATTTAGCTAAGGTGTATACATTTGAAACAATAAATGGTTAAATCATCATTTAGACTGTCCTAGATATCTAAACAAATTTTTAACTTCATATTGCAACAGAACTGGCTTTGAACAAAATCCAAATAGAAGAATGACTGGTCTAACTATTGCATGGTCTGGCTTAATTTGACTGATATCAAGTAGCTTTTTTAAGTAAAAAAATAGATGGTGTAAATCTTTTGTTCGTAAAATAATGTGCTTAAACACTTTACCAAAATTAATAGTTTGTTATTATTGTTATTATGAAGAAAGAAGCTCTCTTTGAAAAAGGTGAAACAAACTACATGTATTGTACAAAATTAATTCAGGAGACAATATCTAGAGAATGCCCTCGATTGTATCCTGTCAATATTTATCTCATTTCTTTTTTAAAATGTGTGTAATAATTACATATAGTTGTATCAAATAAGAGTCATAGGAGGCAAGGAAGTTTACACTCGCAGCCTACAGGGGCGGATCCAGGAACCAACAGGGGGGAGGGGGGCAAATTTCAGGTCTTAGAATAAAACTTCCGCACCTGCAGGGAAAAAACTGAAAAGTGGACCCAAATTTTGAAAATTTTAGGCCTATTTTCTTTAAAAAATTGGCCTGAAATTAACAAACAAGGCCTTATAACGCCCATTTATGACCAGGAAGGCCCACTTTTAGGGGCCCTGAGGCCTTTTTTGGGCCCAATTTTTTTTCTGGGCCCAACTTGGGGGGGTTCAATGATGTCATTTATATCGATAAAAACCATTTTAAAAGGTATATGCCTCCTTGGTATGCTTTTTGTTTTAACATTGGTTATTTACAGTGAAAGGCAGTGAATTGTTTTTTATTATTTTCATTTCAATTCATCTGAACAATTATGAAGAACAATGAAGCAAATCTAAATATAATGAATGTGAAAACAATAAAACTAAAACCAAAACATTGTTTGAAATATTTTTCTGATTAATGAATGAATGTATTACAACAAAATGACATCAGGAAATTTCAATTTGTTTTTGTGCTTCGATTGCCCATCTCCACACTTCATAAAGTTATGGAATTATAAATTTATTTCTATGTATTCATGTAACCTGAATATCCAATGCTACTTGCAGATTCAATTTATAAATTAAATTGTTGCATGCATTGAAAAGTGATTAATTATTCAGAAAGATAACATAAAAATAATGTTTGCAATTTGCCACCATCCATTGAG